TGTGTGTGTGTGTGTGTGTGTAGAGAGATCTCTATTTTTAAGTACTCTATTTTTATTCTTATTTTTATCTTGTTTCCTAATGCACATTCCTTTGTTTGTTTGCACATTACTTACTTTCTGTTCTCTTGGCCTTATATTGTTTACTTGCCCTTTGCTGTTGCCTTATATAATGACATGTACATACAGATCGAGAGCTGCTGTACCAGAGTCAAATTCCTCGTGTGTCCAACACACTTGACCAATAAAGCTGATTCTGTTTCTGAAATAAATGTGTTCAAAAATGTAAAGAAAAAAAAAGTTGAAAAAAAAAGCATTGTAAGTTCGTGTCAACTATGTTTTTAGCATTAAAACTAAAGAAACACATTACTTTACAGTTTTTCTTTCTTTACGTGCTCACCTCAGCTGCTGTTCTTCGTCCCGATATGAAGAGTCGCCGTTTGGATTTGGCGAACTGACGTCTATCTCCTTGAAGGCTTCACTGAGAAATGCAGCCAAACATCTGCATTTCGTGTCACTTCCAATGGACTATAAGTTTCAGAGCTCATAAGTCATTTTACTTGAGCAAATTATTGTTATGTCCTATAATAAAGTGTTGAAGTAGATCAGGCTGTCACATAAATTTCAACCTATGATTTCTATGAGTGCAACGCGTCGCCATGGCAACCGCTGTAGTGAAGGAAGTGAGCTGCTGCTCTCACGTGCTGGTGGGACTATCGGAATTCCAGCGCCTAAAAGAAAACCAACTCGAATTGTGCCTTCAATTTCAGATTTATTTGAACATGGAAATCATATTACCAAAGCTATAGCAATAATGTTACAACTATGGACTCACAATAAAGCAGATATATCTGATTAATAAAGGGGAATAAAATGAGTAGCCTAACCTTGACTAGAAAGCTTAGTTTAATTTACAAACTCACAATAATAATAGCCTAACTTGTAGGGCCCTTAATTTATTTCGAAATAAAATTTAATTTCTCCATGCTGTTATAGTCCAATTATGTTAATTGTCATAACAGATAAAGTGCCGTCTTAATTTCCTCGTTTTAAAGTTGCAGCGGTGTGGCGTTTAGGTGCCGAGAAAGAATGACATTAAGAATTTTGGGAACTATCTCTTAAGACATTTCATTCAGTAGCCTATAATACATTCTTAATGAATGGAAATGGCCTTCACTAATTTGTGTTTACAGATTTACATTTTGAATTAGGCGTATAGGCCATTACATCAGGGACAAAGCAAATGTGCAAAAAAGCTCTAACTTTTGTTTCTAGGCTCTACCGCTTACAGACCATGTTGTAAAGTTGTTGATCTTAAAGGAAAAAAATCATTATTGCACACATTATTAGTAGTCTCTTGTGCACCTTACAACAAGGTCTATCCCAAGTGGATGGCACAAGTTTACACACCTGGTGGCAATTATACTGAGCCAAACGGCAGTATGAGGCTGTACAACTTGTAGAGTATGATACTGACTCCTGCTGGGACCCCTGGTTTTGGATTTTGGGGGCAGTGCTAAATTCAAATCGGCTCTGTCTTAACACACCCCTCATTTCAGCTCCGTCAGTCTGCTCCGAATTTCTACAGAGAAGGTGAACAGGAAACACAGAAGGTACCGTTAGATGAAGCCAAGTAGACTAAATAATTTTACTGTGTGGAAATATGGTGTTGCTCAGTAGAAATGATGGATGTAATAGACTCCTCTGATCCATACAGCCGACCAGCGCGCAGGACACAATGGATAGTCAGCACTCTGGCTTACCATTACGGGTTGGACCGGGGAGTGGAGAACGAAATTATAGTTTTGGCCACCGGACTGGATCAATATTTACAGGAGATTTTCCACCACATGGATTATCAAGGTGTAGGCAAAATCTCTGTCGAGGATTTTAACATTTTGTGTGAAGTTCTGGGACTGAACAAAGACTCGGAGGATACAGAATGCGCCGGTGTATTAGACAATTTACCCAGCGAGCTCACCTTCAGACACTTCCACGCCAAACTGTGCGGATACTTCAGCACCAAGGCGGGGTGCCAGTATGAGAACGGCAGGCTGCTGGTCGGGAAGGACAGCGAGCATATAGAGACTCAGATCCGCCTGAGAAGCCCCCTGAAGCGGCGAGAAAGGCTGCTGCCTGTGGGTATGAGTGGTGGCTCCTCTGCCTCCTCGGAGGGACGGCACGCCTCCGGCTGTAGGCTCGGCTCCTGCACCAAAGAGTGCTATGAGGAGATCGTGGCACTGGAGGAAGCAGAGGACAGAATAACGAAACTGGAAGATGAGAATGCAAGTTTGAGGGAGCTGATTGAGGACATGCGAGCCGCACTTCAGAGCAGTGATGCACGCTGCTTGGCCCTGCAGGTCAGAGCGCTGGTAATGCTGGTGTAGCATAAGGAGTATAAAGGGCAACCTATTAGGAGTGTAATCGGCTCAACTTAAGAGGGCTAGAAAACCCTGAAGTTCTGGTTATGAGCCTGTCAGTATATGTTTAGTTCGATCATACACGCCCCAAAAAATGCAAATAGAGTCAGGCGCAAGAGCAGACCTAGGGCTGCTGCTACAGTAGGGCTGCCTTTTTCAACAGTCTTGTCTGAAAGGCATATTCTTGAATGGGGCCCTAAAACAACCAGCTGGCTTAAACCTAAGATATAAAGCAGTAGTGAATGGCAAGTAGGCTACAAGTAGTAGTTAATATCCCCTTTGTAAATGCATGTTGCATCATTTCGATTCTACAGATGTAAATATTCATAAGTCATTACTAAAAGTTTCATATCCATCAGGTTTGCTGCTGTAAATGTTTGTAAGGTGTTCATTAATAGACTTTAGTCCAAATGACCCGTGGCCCACTGCCAGTAGGGATCCAGTCTAACAGTCCACTTAACTTTAGGGCAAAGGAAGTGTCATTCTGGAGCAAGGTAAACAGCAGCTACATGGATTTTTCACATTATGGCAGCCCATGATTTTTAAGTGAACTGTTCAGCATTAGTAAATGATTTATTAACAAACGTTAGTTACAACTTATAAATCTTTTACCATTACCCTTTGTTAATGACTCACTAACATATATGACTTGATGTCTTATTAGAAAGTGAGAAACTGATGATTGTCTATGAATAACTTTTTATTGATCATGTGACAATTAATGACCAACTAGCAAGAGATTTTTTCACAACCTATTATACCTACTTATTAATGACTTGTAACTGATCTATAAGACATCAAGCAATTATTAATCATTATTAGTTACAACATGTAAACATTAATAAAGGGTGCTTTATTAGACTGAAACTTGTGGCCCTTTATTAATGATTTTATTAACATTTGCAACTACAGAAATAATAGTCTGTGAGAAGGTGAGAAATCCAATATCCGTCAGTATTGCTTTATAGTTTTTGATGGGTTTATTGACTTGACTCATAACAAGAGATATTTTTTATAACTTGTTAATCTAAAAGTTGTTCTTATTGGATTTTACAGCAAGTGATGTATTAATGAAGTCACTGTTTACAACATACACATTCATAATAGAAGAGGTATTGATATTGCACCTGCTTAGTCATATTCTAGTAATTTTCTAGTTCCTTCGGGTCATTTGTTCCTCTTCTCCTCAGGTAGGACTGTGGAAAAGTCATTCCAAACATAAACCAGAGGAAGGCTGTTTTGTTGCCCTCCAAAAACAATCTGTCCAGAAAAGCATGAGCAACAGCAATCTCAAAAGCAGCACCTACAGCAACCTGAAGAACCTGCAGAATATCATCCATGAAATAGAGATGCTGCAGAGCTCCAGAGACAGACAAGTAGAGGAAGCCATGCTGTGTAATCAGAGATTGGAGCAGGAACTGTGGAGCTCTAAAGAGACTGTGGCCTCTCTGGAGGACTGCAACCATGCTCTGAAGAGGGAGCAGGTGAGCATGAGGAAGAAGGTGGAGGAAGCTAGGCAGGCGCTGATTAGCGGACTGGGTAAAGTGAAGGAACTGGAAGCCAAGGCCAGTCATGTGCCAGTGCTGCAGAGACACGTCCTCAAGCTGGAATCAGAGCTCCTCTACTACAGGTAAAAGCACTTGGAACCTGTCAAATGTAACATTTTAGCATCAAAACACTACTACATAAACATTTTAACCAGTAGTAAAATAAGTCACATTGTCTCAGCTCAGACCGCAAACATTTCATCTCATTTGGTTTAGCATATTAAATTACCCCATGCTAGTTTTGTGGTACATTAGCCTGAATCAGACCATACTGCCATTTTGTTTGACTTAATCCTTTTAGCCTGACATCATGCTCATGTTAGCCATATCCTTTCTGAGAGGGGAAACTGGCATATTGCTGCATTTCTTGGTGTTACAGCCACCAGCTGTCAACCAATAGGGTGAAACCAGCAGTAGGAATGTGTATCATGTCGCATTCATTGTCATGCCCAGTATAAACAAAACGAGGAGCCACTTATAAATACAGTACTGATGATCCGAAACTACCTTGGGGACCTTTTCTGTTTTTACGTTGACTAAAAAAAAATCTTATTTTAAGAGTTGTTATGCCTGACCATGGACTTGTACAGCTATACAACCTCTCCATTCAGTCCAGTCAGCTGTCAAACCCTGACCCCAAACAAGTGTCTGGCTGATGATCATGTCATGAAAAGGAAGGGTTTGTTTTCTTAGTTACTGCATTAGGGAGGCCTTTGTGGCCAAAATGAACCATAATGAATTACAATTCCCCCTATAAAATGACTGTTTACTTCTGGCTTCATTCCTGGAAACCTCTGCCATGGTATTTATGAAACCTTCATGTGGTTTACTATTCAAATTTTCAGCCTTGTTGTGTTTTAGTTTATGTAACAGGCATCGTGTGTGGCACGTCGAGTCTGCCTGAGCTCAGCTGCTGTGGAGAACTGGCCATTTTGGTGGAAGGAAGGGTGGAATTGGTCTTTTAAAGTACAAAGCCAATGGTCTAATGTTTGTCTCTCTGTCTGTTGCCCCTGTTCCAACCATATAATTAGTGTCTGCAAGTCTGCCTCTAAATGTATTTAACATGCATATAATGCTGTTATTATGGACTAAAGTCCATAATAATATATTCATGCACAACCAGACCCATATGATTAAAGTCCTCACTACTGCCTCCCTTTAGGTTGTTCTAAACAACAAATTTAGCAACCAGAATACTCTTTCTTTAACCCTAAACTCCACTAATCTATGCAGAATGTGGCCCAGCCTTTTCACTGCCCTTCCATTGACAGCCCAATGGAAAATAATTCAACACCACAAAGGCTCTGACATGTCAAGAGAGAGTTCCATTGAGAAGCTCACCAGACTGACTGTTCTCATCAATCTCCACTCACTTCTTTCACTCCACTCCCAAATGAACAATACCACACAGGCACCCCTTCCTATGGATCTTAGCAACCAAGCTCCACGAATATTCCCACTGAAAGCCTTAAAGTTTGCTCAGTTTCATCTCCTCTAAGCATGCATGAAAGCTACAGAGATACAGAAAAGTGCCAGTTTAGGTGTTGTCTTTAAGATTTCAGTGAGAAACAGTGCTTTTTTAAAATCCCTTACTCCCATCTTGCGCCTAAACCGTGGGACAATTTACCTTAAAATTTAGTCAGTAATGTTCCGAACAGCTGTGTCTGTATCAGATGTCTCAGATCATATGTGATGAGCTTATAGTTGCAGTAGTGTGTCTAGGATCTGTTGAAATGATTGGCCGTAAATTCACTGTGGTTTATTTATAAAATGCCATGACAAATAACGAGATTAACTCAGATGCAGTTAACTCAGGGCTGGTAGGGGGGAGACAGCTGGCACTGCTTGTCTCCTGTGAATTCCACACTGAAAACAAAGATGGACAGTCAGTGTTTATATCCTTATGATGTTGAAAGCACCTAGCTTGAGCCCTAACCCAGCAGATTTGGCATTGCAAAGAAACTAGATGAAAAGATTACCACTCTAATGCTACTGTTTTGGGAGTTTTAACAAACAATAACAATTGAATGGCTAATGATATTCATTTAAAAAAATATATTTTGTAAAATATTAACCCAAAAAAATTATATGAATTGATTTAGATTTTTAAATATTCATTATGACGATGCTTGTAAAGCAAGTAACAGGCTGTAGGTTTTTATAAGGATTAGTTAGTTTGAAGTGTATGGCTAGGGTTTTAGTGTTTGCCTTGGCTTAGTTATTTTTTGGTAACAGTCAGCCTGATTTTAATAAAAGAGAAAATGCTAATATAGGATCGTGTTGGGTGTGTAGATGCAGGCAAAGAGGGGGTGGTTCTGGGAAAACACTGTTGAGCAACTCAGCAAACACCAATTAGCGAGAGGCTGCCCATCTGATGACCCAGTAGACTTGCCCTTACTTTTTATGATGCATGACCTGACATCCTCCTTTCTGGGGTTAGATATTGGTTAAACATCATTTAATGTCTATACTGAGCTTCCAAATGAATGCTCTCCCATTCTTTGGCACATTTAATTGTGTATTATAGATTGAATTACATAGCAAACAGGACATTTTACAGAGTAAAAACCAACTTGTCAGTGCTCCCTTGGAGACAAATACCTGTATATAATGGAGATAGCGTTATGGCAGCTTGCTCTGCCTCTCACTCACTCTCCTTGCCTCTCACTCTCTCTCAGCAGGTAGGTGCTATTCGGGTGAGGCAGACACAGCTGTGAAAGATCAACTAGTCATGTTGTCTCTACTTAACAGGCAGGAGAATATTCCTCATAGCAGCCCGTTGCAGTACCTACCTAGACATCTTTGGCCCCCGTTTTCGTGTCTGAAAAGAAAACCTTTTTGATCCAGAGATTGTGCTTGTTGTTTTTGATTACCTGTTTGTTCCTGACTTCTCAGCGGCAGTGTCACACCCCGTCCAGTACTGCATACTGTGTGTGCCTAGTCGACCACCCTCACACGTTATGGGGTGCTGCTGGGTCATCTAGACTACTCCCATTGTTTACAAGCCAAAGCTACTCGGTCTTTGACCCAACAGGTTACTCAGTTGTCTCACCAGCTAGCTGCCTTCATGTCATTAACCTCCCCTGGACCATCCTCTAAATCCACAGACCAGATGAATCCCTCACCAAGCCAAAACCAAAGCCCGGTGCATGAGGCAAATATCCCTGACCCCAAGCCTTTTCATGGAGACCTAGATAAGTGCTGGGGCTTTGTTCTTCAATGTAGAATGGTATTTGACCAGAAACCACACATATTTAAGGCTATAGTGTTTTTTGTCATTAACCTACTGCACAGTCAGGCCCTAGCTTGGGCAGAGGCAACGTTGTGTTGGGGCAGTTTTCATGGGGCAGCCATGGGGAGTTTCTTGGCAAGCTGAAGAAGGTCTTTGATCATGCAGCCAATGCTGTGAATGCCATCAAGTGCCTGTTAGGCCTGCGCCAAGGGGCCCGTAGTGCCGCAGAATATTGTATAGAGTTTTGCATCCTGGCTGCCAATGCGGGGTGGAACAATGAAGCCCTCTGCAGGTTTTTTTGGGATGCTCTAGGAGACTCAATCAAAGATGAGCTTGCCGCCCGGGATGAACCCACAGACCTAGATTTCCTCATCTTGTTAGGCATACTTTTGGACAACCGTCTGTGGGAATGCCGCTGTGTGCAATCCTCTCACCCCAGCTACCCTGGAACTGCGCATCCCAGCTCTAGCGGTATTAGCCATCCCAGGCTTCAGTTGCTACATGCGACAGGCAGACCTCATCTCATGCCCACAGCACAGAGGAGCCTATGCAGCTAGGGAGGGCACTATTGTTGGCTAGTAAGCAGGCTCATCGGTTAAGAATGGGTGCCTGCCTCTACTGTGGCCAGTTGGGGCACTGTATTCCCTCCTGTTTGGTGCGCCCAAAAGATCCAACCCGCCAGTAAGTGTAGGGGTATTGGTGGGTTGATCTAACCTCCTCGAAGAAGAATCAACCTGTCTTTGTCTCCCAGTCATCCTCGGTATCAGACAGGAGTCTCTCCCGTTCACCACACTGATTGACTCAGAAGCCAGTGACTGCTTTATGGACCAAGAATTAGCCACCCAATTAAGTCTTGCCACTGAACCTCTTGAATGCCCCCTGATAGCCAACGCCCTCGATGGTCAACTCCTAGCTTGCATCACCCATCAGTCTCAACCAGTCACCCTCATCATTTCAGGTAACCACCAGGAACTCCTGCAATTTAAGATCCTCAGCTCCCCTCAATCTTCGTTAATCTTGGGTCATTCCTGCCTCAAGCTTCACAATCCCCAGATCAATTGGCAGACAGGCATGATCACTATATGGAGTCCCACCTGCTCCTCCTCCCGCTTGAGATTGGCTCAACCATCCCAGGATGTCTCTCTCCGCCCAGCTCCACCTGAACCCCTGGACTTGTCCATTGTCCCACCTGAATACCATGACCTGGATGAGGTGTTCAGTAAAGACCTAGCCCTATCCCTGCCACCTCAGAGACTCTACAGTTGTGCTATAGATCTCATGCCTGGGGCCACCTTTCCGTCAAGCAAGCTCTCCAACATATCTAAACCTGAAAGACAAGCTATGGAGCACTACATCAAAGACTCCTTATTATCCGGCCCTCATCCTCACCACTTGGGGAAGGGTTCTTTTTTTATGAGCAAGAAGGACCCAGCCTCCGGCCATGCATAGGCTATCGGGAACTTAACAAGATCACAATCAAAAAGAAGTATCTCCTTCTGCTTCTCCACTCCGCATTTGAGTCACTCCAGAGAATAACCTTGTTGACTAAACTGGACCTGAGAAACACCTACCATCTGGTGAGGATCAAGGAGGAAGACGAATGGAAGATGCCCTTCAAGACACCTCTGGGGCACTTGGAGTACCTGGTGATGCCATTCAGTCTCACTACTGCCCCAGCCATCTTTCAGGCGCTCATCAATGATGTGTTAAGAGACTTGTTTTTGTCTATCTTGATGACATCCTCATATTTTCTCACTCCTGGGCATAACATGTCCAACATGTCAAGCAGGTGCTCCTTCGGTTGCTGGAGAACTGGTTATTTGCTAAGACAGAGAAGCTCCCCAAGCACCT